GGGGGGGGGAGAGTGCATGGGTGGGCTCCGCATCAAAGGACGTGAGGAGCTCCGAAAGGGAGGGTGGTGGTGGTGGTGGTGGTGGTGGTGGTGTTGGTGGAGGAAAAGAGCGCGAGGATGGCGCAGGCGCAGTGTCGCCTTCCCACCTGTATCTTTTCACGTTCGTTCCCTCACCACCACCCTGAGAGTTTCTTGCGGGCTCTTTCCCGCTGAGGCGGAGGATGGGTGTGAGTGTGTGTTATGTGCGTGACTTTGAGGTGTGAGGAAGCCAGACCCATCAGCTTTGGACGCGGGTAGGGCTTGAAGGCTGCAGACTCTGCTCTCATTGTAATTGATCTGTGAGTCCTCAGTCTTTAGGGTCCTTTGTGGCGCGCGCGTGTGTGTGTGTGTGTGTGTGTGTGTGTGTGTGTGTGTGTGTGTGTGTATGTTGCTCTGGTTTACCTCATCAATGAAGGTCTGGGGTGCCTTGTGGCCTTTCTCATGACCACTTGCTTTGCCTCCAAAGCTGCTTGTGTGCCTCAGCACTAGTGGTGATATTCAGCAGGTTCTGACCAGTTCTGGAGAACTGGAATTGAAAATTTTGAACAGTTCAGAGAACCGGCAAATAGCATCTCTGACTGGAGATTTTACAGTGTCCTTCCCCTGCTACGCCCACCAAGTCAGGGCCACAGAACTGGTAGTAAAAAAATATTGAATCCCACCACTGCCCAGCACCTTTTGCAGCCAGAATCAGCATGTTCTTAAAAGCGTTGCCATCATTCTGTGGGTCGGAGACCTGGAAATGTGAGGTTCCTGCCGTTTCGTGAACTCTCCTGCAATAATAGTTACGAAATGGTCCTTTCTCTCTCTTGGCGTAACACATCACCAAGCACAGGTAGTCCTCGACTTACGACCACAACTGAGCCTGAAATTTCTGTTGCTAAGTGAAACATTTTGTTAAGTGAATTTTACCATTCTTGCTTGCCGTGGTTGTTGAATGAATCACTGCAGTTATTGAGTGGGTAACAAGGTTGTTAAGTGAATCTGGCTTCCTCGTGAACTTTACTCACCAGAAGGCCTCAAAAGGTGACCTGCCTGGACACTGGAACCATTATAAATATCAGTCAAGTTTCCAACTGTCTGAATCTTGATCATGTGACCATGGGGATGCTGCAACGGTTGTAAGTATGAAAAATGGTCATAAATCATTTTTTCCAGTGCCGTCATAACTTGGATGGTCACTAAATGAACTGTTGTAATTCAAGGACTACCTGTAGGGGAACTTTGGGTTAGTGAGATTTTACAGATTCAATCTCAGTATAGTTTTGTATAATAGTCTTTTTGATATATACATATTCACTCTTGTTTTTTTTTCCAGAATCCTACAATTTGAGGAGGACTGATAATTTCCTTGCACTAGGTCCATCTAATGGTTATCTTCTACCAAGATCTTCAAAAACAACTGAAAGTTTGAAGAATTCTTGATGTTGTACTTAAGAGATAACTTTGCCTTCTGTTCTTTAAGTTCTTGCACTGGAATCTGACATTTTTTCTCTTTGGTTTGAAAAAAAAGATTGAAAGAAAAGAAAGACTCCTATCTCCCTCCCTCCCTCTGTTATCTTTTTCTGCACCAGAATCATAAGGAACGTTTGCAAAGAAAAATATTTTTTTCCTGGCATTCACCAAGGAAAACAAGTGGATTATGACCTTACTACATTCAGTTCAGACTTTCTAGCATTTTGGCATATCTTGCAGATCTTTGCCTTTGGATACTTTTTCCTGTTGCATTTTGCTGAGATAAAAGCTTAACAGCAGGTTCTCTCTCTGTTGCTGCTTTCCCAGACATATGGCTGGAATTTTTCAGTGTGGCCCTTTGACAGATAAAAATTGCAAATCTTTTTCCTTTCTTGACTTTTAAGCTATCTTTAAGAACAGAAAACTCTGACATATTTGTCTGATGCATGGGAATCTTCAGCGTAATTATCTGTGAAACATTAACTGACAAAATCATGGTATATTGCCTTCATTCAATCTTAGACTGTATTTCTAAAAATATACCTAATAAGCATTGATGTCAAAATATCACACTGTCAGTCTGAAGCAGTTTGTGAATCTATGGTAGACATGAATCTTCCTCATGAGAGAGTATTGGATAACATTGTTGGCATCTCTACTTTTCTAAATGGTCTTCCTCTTACGACTTGAGGTGACTTTAGGTTAAACTGATCAGGGAAAAGGGTTTTTGTTTTGATTTTTTTCCGGTTACTCTGCCATCTTTGTTGCCAAGATGGCTTCTGTTCGGTTTATGGTTACCCCTACTAAAATTGATGATATCCCAGGACTATCTGATACTAGCCCAGACCTCAGCTCCCGCTCTAGCTCCTGCGTCCGGTTCAGTTCCAGAGAAAGTGTGCCTGAAACAAGCCGGAGTGAGGGTGCCAGTGATTTTTCACGAGCAACCACTTCCTTGGCCACTGAAGCTGTCGAACCTGCTTCTGACAAGATCACCAACCCTCGCACAGATGTGGTTGAAGGTAGGCCACCTTTGGTGGGAGGATGACTGGATATTTAAAGGCTACCAGTAATTTTGCCAATGGAACAAAGTTACTGGTTGCAAGTGCCTTGCTTAGTAAAAGAACCATTTGGTGCTTGTTTTCAAATATCTTGTTGGTAGAAAAACATTGAGAGATGAGTAGGTCTTGGAAGCTTCTTGTTTAGAAGTTGTGGGAAGCACAGTTCCTTGTTGCTAATTCAAAGAAATATTTTCTGTGTTTTGGGAGGTATGTTGATGATATCAGAGAAGTGTGTGTGGGCCTGTCCATTTCATATTAAATATTGTTGACAGATGTCATTTTCACCCATGATTGTATTTTCCAGATTTGGCACCTTAGAATACATTTCTCATTTTTATGCCAAAGTTTGACTGGCATGTTTTAAATTTACAAGAGAGAATAGTTTCCTGATCAATCTTATTAGAAGCAGCTCTGAATTCCTCTGCTTCTAACATGGAAGGAAACTAATCAAGGTGAGAAGTTTCTAGAACTAAGAAATTCCTTGACAGTTAGAATAATTAATCAGTGGAACAACTTGCCTCCAGAAGTTATGAGTGCTCCCAACAGGCAGGAGGTTTTTAAGAAGAGTTTGGATAATTGTTTGTCTGAAGTAGAATAGAGTTTGCTGCTTGAAGAGGGGTTGAACTAGAAGACCTCCAAGGTCCCTTCCAACTTTGTTATTTTGTTAAAACAAGCTAATTTTATTGTCTTTAAATTATGCTTTCCCTTTGGAGTACTGAGTTTGCTGATCTGCTCAGTTTTTCAAATTCCTTCTCGTTATTTTTCCTCTTGTGCCAGGAAATGCTGAGCAAGACTCATGGGAAATGACTTGGGAGAATTTCAGTTCCCTTAATTTTGTTGATTTTTCCTGTCTGATTTTTAAAAAATGTCTAAGGTTAGACCAGGTTTTGCTCAGTCACCACTGAGTCAAAGTCACATCTTCATTGTGGAGTTTCTGAATAACAACACTGATTTGTCAACAGTCTTTAGATCCAGCCAGTCTGTAGTTCATTGTCTGATTTCTGAATCTTACTTTGTTCTAAAAGGCATCTGTCCTAAATTGCCCTCAAATCCCCAATTGAAGCAAGTTGAAATTTTTGAAAAAGGGTAGTGGAATAAAAGAGAAGTTAAAAAAAGCAGTTTTTCAGAGCATCGTCTATGAAAGTAAAATAATACAGGTGAAGGCTTATGCGGTAAAGCCCCCTTTTCTGTTCAGCAAAGACTGTTAACATGAATCACTTCTGGGAAATCTGGCAGTTGTGCTTTTGATAACTGAGGATTCTCCTTCACCAGTCTATGTTTATGCATCTAAAATAATTATGTAATTATAGCTATATTAGGCCCCCAGCTTTGCTTTGCAGATAATACCTTTTTGAGATGCTGCTAGAAAGAAGTAATTGTAATAAGGGAATAACTCCTTTAATCCTTTTTGTTCATTGGATATGTGTCTACATGAATAACTTTAATTCTCAATTTATATTATTTTACAAGATGTATATCAGCATCAAACCTAGGTGCATTTTAAGAAGGGTTAAGTAGATGAAACATTATGTGGTACAGTTTCATCATTCTTTAGCAATAATTCCCATCCTACAGTCTGTGGATAACTAGTGGTTTGTAAGAGTATTGTAGGTGGCCCCTAAATTTATCCATTAATTTTATATTAATGGATAAAATTCACCTACTGTAAGATTTCATGAGATTTCAGCCTTCCTGCTCAAATTATGATAATATTTCAGGTGGAATATCAAAACCTTATGAAAGTACATGGTTTTACAAGTTTTTAAGAATATATTTTAAAATTAAAATTTGAGATCCTTGTGATATCTGCAGTTTAATAATGTTCCTGAAGGATTCTGAAATTGGGAAGAATTGCTCAGGTAGTCAATTCAGCAAGTAATCTGATTGCTTTTAATGGTGATGACGAACCTTGAATTGCCTCTGGAAGTATACTGGAAGGCAATGTCACTTGTGCAGCAGTGATGTTACATGGGAAACTTTAGAGTACCCCAAATTAAGCACTGCTACATTCTGAGTGTTCTTATAGGAAAGCTCCACCTAGAGCACAATGCAGTTATCCAATCAGGAGGTGACAAAAGGTATGAATGGCAACCGTTGTAATCCAGAAATGAGCACAACTGATACATGGGACGAATCTGCAAAACTTTTAGAGCAGGAGTTGTATGTTCAGGAAGCCCTCCAGATGGTATATTAACTTTGGTGAAATGCTACTCCGATAGCAGTAAGAGATGTAAAAGCAGATCTATAGGTTCAGAGGTCTATAACCACTTGGATATGCCAGGGTTGAGCTGAATCCTATTCTCCCCCATCCAAACTCCCAGCTTCCAGTCACTGGTTAAGAACCTTGAACAAATTGTACAGCTAAGGGTGGAATACATAGCTGAGTATCATTTAGGTATTGATGGTGCTGGCAAATAAAATTCAGTGATTTCATTTAGATGTTAAATATGAGTGGGAGAGAGTTGAGCTTGAGGAACTGCAGATAAGAGAGATTTAGTGTTACACCTCGCCCCATCCCCATCAACATCAACTCGAACTAGCATTGAAGGAAAGAGGAGAACTAGCACAAAACTAACTTATGGACTTAATCAGAAAGGTACCATGATTAGGGCTATCAAAAGCTGATGAGAGATCTAGAAAAACAAAGACAGATGTACTACCACCATTACATGTCCTCAAGGGATCTTCTGCAAAAAAGTATTCATTACCACTTGGACACAGCTACATGTTCCTCCCGACTGGCCTTGACCAACTAGGAATAACATGGATCTAAAATGTAGAAGAGCTCACAGCTCCAAAGACCCTATCTACTTCAGGCCTAACCAGGTTAAATTTATTTCAGATAGTAAGACTATATTTCAATCACTTGCATAAGACCTGCCTAGTGGTAAGTGCCATGGTGGTGCAGTGGTTAGAATGCAGTACTGGAGGCTACTTCTGCTGACTGCCAGTTGCTAGCAGTTTGGCAGTTCGATTCTCACTTGGCAAGGTTGACTCAGCTTTGCATCCTTCTGAAGTTGGTAAAATGAGGACTCAAATTGTTGTTGGGGGCAATGTGCTGACTCTAAAGCTGCTTAGAGAGGCCTATAAAATACTGTGAAGTGGTATATGTCTAAGTACTATTGCTATTGCTAGATTGTGTCCAGCTCAAGTATACTCCAATGACTTTGCCCAACAGTGAGCCTGAAAAAGCTTCAGTAATCTCTCCTTATAAAGAAAGGATCTGGGCACCCAAAAGAAGGCTGCCGGTCAATTATTTCCAGACACAATAAAATTGGCCCACTTTATCATTTGTTCTGTCACCACATGAGTCCGCATAAGAGCTCTTACTCATGCTCAGTTGGATTTGCTCTTTTGTCTTTCTCCAGACGTATTCACAAGAAGTGTTTTTATCTCCCCAAGCTCCTCAGAAAACAGGAAGCTCTATGGGATCTCCAATCATGAAGAGAGTACACTGTCCAATTTAAGGCTCTTGTTGCCTGCTCATTCCAGATAGCAATATAAGGCCTTGTCTAGAGCATGCTGCAGAGCTTCAGGAATAATTCCCTAAAACATTCCTGGGTTCATCAGTAGCCTGGCCTGGAGCAATCCAATAGGCCTTTCCTTCCTGCTACGGGCAGCAGCCACAGAGAACTGCAGTGATTTGTGTAGTTGCCTGGAGTCAACTTTGACATGAAGGAGTTACTGCAGTGCACCATTTTTCCCCTTTTGCAACAGTCATTTCGTCAGTTACACATGCATCATCACTTTGTTATGACCTATAAATAGTCGTGCCTACTTCAAGGAATCAGGAGTGTGTGTATTTGCTTCCAAAAACTATGGCATTTTATATTGCGTTTGTCCCCTTTGATTTTTTTTGCAATGCTGTGGGATGTTTTTTCCAACGACTGTATCGCATTTCGATAAAAGTCAATTTGGGGCATGTTTAATTGTGAAAGTTGGCAGGCTGCCTTTCCCTCATTGGTTTGCTGAGTTCTTGCCCAGCTTTGCAGAGCACTGATGTGTACATGTTCTCCTGCAGTCTATCCTTCAGGAAGCAGGATAATTTTGTACACTTCTTATTTAATTGTATTTTACACCTTTTTCTCCACATGAACCATTTTCTGAGTATACAAATAAAAACAGTAACCACAATGTTTTCTTTGTTGCTCCTACTCCTTGATAGCACCTATCTTCCAAGTGCTATGTTTATCTCACACAATTTACTCCTCATTTATACTTACTACTTTTTTTTAGTCCAGACAGATGTTACATGCAGACTTTATGTAAGCAATTGCACCTTTTTTTAAATTGGCTTTTTCTTCTTGTTACTGTTGTAGTAGTTATCTATAGACAGAGTTTTTTCTTTTACATAATCTTTATTAAAGAGATATTAACATAAAAACAATACAGATTTTAGAAAATAAAGAACATAGTGAAAAGGTAAGAAAGAAAATAGGAAAAAATAGATCAAAAGAAAAAAATGTGAGAAAGTGGCTTCTGATTCTCTTAACAACTGTTGTAAATGCATTCATAGTTTAACTTCTCTAAAATTACCTCATTAGAACAGTGCTTTTCAAACTTGGCAATGGCTGGGTAATTTGGGGAGTTTAAGTCCGTACACCTGAGTTTTGCCAAGTTTGGATACAAACACTTAGAGCTACAGAGCCACCTGTGGTTTTTGCCGTACTTGTGTATTTGTTTGCTTTATGAAGAAAATTTCTTCAAGATTGTATCTGGCACACAATAAGCGAGCTTGTCTTTCCTTCTAGCAACTCTACATATGGATAAACATGAGATAAGATAAATTGTGCAGCCAGCCAACCAATGTCTCAATAATTCTGAGGTCCTTAGTGCTTCCTTGAGTTATCTGATGAGATGTTTGCCCTTAACTGCTTGTATTTCAATACTCCTATACATATAGTTCCTATTAAACAAAAGACAAAGTAGGATAATATTTTTGTGGCTGGAGAAAAAAAATA